ATTCATCATGACCAAGTGGGATTCATCCCAGTGATGCAAGGCTGGTATAATATTCACAAGTCAATAAATGTGATACACTAAATAAACAAAATGAAGAATAAAAACCACATGATTATATCAATAGACGCTGAAAAAGCATTCGACAAAATTCAGCATCGATTTCTGATAAAAACTTTCAGCAATGTGGGAATAGAGTGATCATGTCTCGACATAATAAAGACCATATGTGAAAGACCTACAGCCAACATCATACTCAATGGGCAGAAACTAAAAACATTTCCATTAAGAACAGGAACAAGACAGGGATGTCCACTTTTTCCACTCTTATTTAACATTATACTGGAAATCTTAGCCACAGCAATCAGACATGAAGAAAAAATAAAAGGGATCCAAATTGGAAAGGAGGAAGTGAAACTGTCATTGTTCGCAGATGACATGATAGTATACATAGAAAACCATAAAGACTCCATCAAAAATCTACTAGACTTAATAAATAAATTTGGCAAAGTAGCAGGTTACAAAATTAACGTCAAGAAATCGACGGCATTCTTGTACACCAATGATGAACTGACAGAAAGAAACTCAAAAAGAATCCCATTTACCATTGTGGCAAAAAAATTAAGATACCTAGAAATAAACTTAACCAAAGAAGTAAAGGACCTATTTGTAGAAAACTACAGGACATTGAAAAAAGAAATAGAGGAAGATATAAAAATGTGGAAGCACATACCTTGTTCATGGATTGGAAGAATTAACATCATTAAAATGTCCATACTACCCAAAGTAATCTATAGATTCAATGCAATCCCCATCAAAATACCAACGACACACTTCACAGAACTAGAACAAATACTTAAAAAGTTCATATGGAACCAAAGTAGACCCCGAATAGCCACAGCTATTTTGAAAAAGAAGAACAAAGTTGGTGGGATCACAATACCAGATATCAGGTAATACTACAAAACAACTGTAATCAAAACAGCCTGGTACTGGAACAAGATCAGGCAAATAGACCAGTGGAAAAGAACAGAGAACCCAGAAATGGACCCAAGGCAATATGCTCAATTAATATTTGACAACCGTGTCAAGAGCATACAGTGGAGTAAAGACAGCCTCTTTAATAAATGGTGTTGGAAAAATTGGACAGCTATATGCAAAAAAAAATGAAACTAGACCATCAACTTATACCATACACAAAATAATCTCAAAATGGATAAAAGACTTAAATGTGACCCGTGAATCCATAAAAATTCTAGAAGAAGCCCTGGCCAGTTTGGCTCAGTGGGTGGAGCGTCAGCCTGCAGTCCCGAGAGACCCTGGTTCAGTTCCCGCTAAGGGCACATACCTCGGTTGCAGTTTGTCCCCAGCCCTGGTTGGTTTTGCGGATGGCAGCCACTCGATGTGTCCCTTTCACATCGATGTTTCTCTCTCTCTCTCTTTCTGTTCCTGTCTCTCCCTCCCACTCTACCTGAACAAAAAATGGAAAAATGTCCTCGGATGAGGATTAAAACAAAATTTTCTAGAAGAAAATGTAGGTAACAAAATTTCAGACATTATACACAGCAGAATTTTCACTGATACATCACCTAAGGCAACAGAAACAAAGGAAAAAATGAACAAATGGGACTACATCAAATTAAAAAGCTTCTGCACAGCAAAAGAAACAACCATCAAAATGGAAAGGCAACCCACTGTATGGGAGAACATCATTGCCAATGATATATCAGATAAGGGATTAATTTCCAAAATATATAGAGTACTCATACAACTAAACCAAAGAAAGACAAAGAACCCAATTAAAAAATTGGCAGAGGAGCTGAAAAGACACCTCTCCAAACAGGACATCCAAATGGCCAAGAGATATATGAAGAAAGACTCAACATCACTAATCATCAGAAAGATGCAAATTAAAACAACAATGAGATATCACCTCACACCTGTCAGAATGGTCGCCATCAACAAATCATCAAACAACAAGTGTTGGCGAGGGTGTGGAGAAAAGGGGACTCTAGTGCACTGCTAGGGGGAATGCAGACTGGTGCAGCCACTATGGAAAACAATATGGTGTTACCTCAAAAATTAAAAATTGTACTTCCATTTCACCCAGTGATCTCGCTTCTAGGAGTATACCCTAAGAAGCCTGAAACACCAATAAGGAAGAATGTATGTAGCCCCATGTTTGTAGCAGCACTATTTCCAATAGCTAAAATCTGGAAACAGCCCAAGTGTCCATCAGTAGATGAATGGATAAAAAAGCTGTGGTATATATACACAATGGAGTACTATGCAGCTGTAAGAAAGAAAGATCTCTTATCCTTTGAGACGACATAGAGGGATCTGGAAAGTATTATCCTAAGTGAAACAAGCCAAGCAGAAAAAAACAAATACCACATGATCTCACTTATATATGGAATATAATGAATATAACAGTCTGAGGAATAGGATAGACCCAGAAACACGAAGTAGGGTAAAGACTGACAACCCTCAGAATAGGGGGTAGTAGGGGTGGGAAGAGATAAACCACAGAACTTATATGCATGTATGTATAACCAATGGACATGGACAACAAAGCCAGGGATGGGGCGGGGGCGATGGGGAGGAGAGTGTCAATGGGGTAAAAAAGGAGAAACATCTATAACAAAAATAAAATAAAATAATTAAAAATAAATAATAATAATAATAATATGGAAGCTTGATTCATCAAGGCAAATAACCAAGCAAGAGTTGTGGCAAGAAAGAGAGTGCTAGCAAGAGAAAAGTCACAGTTTTGTTTTGTTTTGTTTTGTTTTGTTTTGTTTTGTTTTGTTTTGTTTTTTACAATCTAATCATAAGAATAACATTGTATTATTTTTGCTTTACTCTGTTCATCAGAAGCAACTCACTGGGTTTAGCCCACATGCAAGGGGAAGCGATTTTACACGGGAGAAAATATCAGGAGGCAGAGATCATTGGAAGCCATATTGAAACTGCTAACCACAGAGCCCTTTGATCAGTTAGATGTTTCATAGTTGGAGATCTGCAAGGTGCATTTTTACGGCCTTCACATTACACCCAGAAATAAGGAATTATTTAAATAGATAATAAGCCAGAAGGAACAACATTAGAAGAATTAAAAATGTAGAAAATAATGAGAAAATCATCCAGAGGCATTGTGGATACAATGAAACTAAGATATGTTTCATTTGAGTCCTAGAAGAAGGAACAGAGAGAAAATGGGACCAAGGCATAGTCTGAAGTGATTATGTCTGAGAATGCCCAGGGATAATGAAAAGTATAATACATAGATTCCATAAGACTAGAGGACTCACAAAGCCCAAGAAAATTAGTAAAAATAATCCACCCCTAGAATATCTTAATAAAATAAAATAAATATAGTTTTAAAACCAAGAGATGATCTTAAAACAGCCAAAGAAAAAAATACAGATTAGTTGTATAGCACTGAGTCAAATGGTCAAAATGCTTCTTAAAAGCAAAAATGAAAATTGGTAGATTATGAAATGATAAATTTAATATGAAAATAAAAAATATAAAAGGACTCTGGAAATTTTGTCATCAGCAGAACTTCATTACAGAGTATTCTGAGTGATCTATTCCAACTGGAAAGTACTCCCAAGTGGTAAATCTATGATGCATGAAGAAAAAAAAATAAGAAAAGAAAAATGTTACTATGAGGGTAAATCTAAAAATCAACCTTAATTCTTTAAAATAATAACAACAAAATTCTCATGGGTTATAAAAATATAATATTCCACAACAACAACTATTTAATTCAGGAACAATGTGATAACTATGGTAAAACTTTCCATAAATCCCTTTCTTATCCAGGAGGTTAAAAGTGTCTTTAAGAGTCTAAGAATGTACATTTGCATGTAGAAATTAGTAGTATTTCCTATTAAGATAACAGAAACAGAATTATAATACTCAAACTAGAAGAAGTAAAAATAACAACTAATGTGAAAGAAGATAATAAAAAAAGAAAAAGAAAAAATATGGGCAAATACAATAGTTTATTTTATGGTTTAAATCTAAACTTATAGTAATTTGTGAATGCACTTTAAAAAAACACTTTCAAATGATAAAAAAAAATCTACCTACATGATGTTTACAAGAGAGATAGATAAAACATGAAGACTCAAAAGTATAGAAATTTAAAGAATTAAAAGTATTTCCCAAATATCAAAAGAAGGCTAGTAAAGCTATTTTAATAATATCTTGATTGAATTTAAGGCCAAAAATATTCTAAGAGTCAAATATTGTCGGTTCATAATGATGAAAAGGTAAATCATTTGTGAGCAAGATATAACAATGCTAAACTTGTATGAACCTGAGAGAGTCTGGAAAAATATGGAGCAAAAACCGATAAAAATTTTAAAAGTAAAAAGATATAAACCAATATACTACCATAGTGGAAGATTTTACCACTTTCCTTAATATTTGACAGAAAAGTAGCAAAAATCAGTAATGATATAGAACAGTGCTTCTCAAACAACTCATTGGGATCTGTTAAAAGTGCAGATTCTCATTAACAGGTCTGAATTGAACCTCAGATTCTGCATTTTGAACAAGCACCCAGGTAATGCTGATGTTGTTGGTCCATAGACCACACTTGAAATTTAGCAAGAATAGACAAAGATTAACCTCTATGATTAGAAAACTTGACCTAATGAAACAGTAAGGAGCAATAAATTCAATAGGTACATGGGAATATTTTCAAGTACACAAGGAGAATTTACTAGAAAAGAGTCACTGAGCCAAAAATTAATAGGCAACAATTTCCAATAAGTTAAAATTATATAATACTCTCTGAACAAAATAAAATTAAACTGGAAATAATCATAATAATTATTATTATTGGTACGTGGGTTGATGCTCAACCACTGAGCCACGCCAGCCGGACCTTACCTTTCTCTTTATATAAATTTTTATGCAGAATATAAATTTTGTTTTAATTAATATTTTACTTCTAAATGATATAAGTAGAATGTGTGAAAAATTCTTACTTGTAGGCTTCTACGTTTGATTCACTATTTTTAATAGCTTTTTCCATTTCTTCTCTAATGTGTTTAGCTTTCAATTTTGCATTTTCACAGTTTGCTATAGCTTCTTTAAGTTCTTCATGAACGTGTTTGTATAGTTCCATTGCCTAGAAATAAAAAATATTTTGCTAATATATGCACTTAATGGGTAATTAAAAGAATTGGACAAGATATAAAACGTTCTTTATATCAATTTTCTTCCTATGTTTATCTAGTCTATTGTTTAGTACAGTAATGTTTTGAGATTCCTTTACCTTGAATGGCATCGATAAATATCAGGGATATACAAAAGTTACAGAAGAGAACTTTAACATCCCAGGTAACACCATCAAAATTAAAATCATTATTTTTCACCCACAAAAAACTGCTGCCTTTTACTGTTTTTATTGTGGAAAAATCAGAAAACACAGATAAAAAATACAATAATCTGTAATATTTTCATTCAGGAATAACCATTATTACTGTGTCAAAATAATCCATATTTATTGTTTTTGTTAATTAATAGCATGAACATTCTCCCTTTTCTCTCCATCTCATTTTTCTCTGTCAAACTAAGGAGAAGGGGTAGTTGTAGTTGTCATAACTTGGAACTATAGGCCTAGAGGTTATGTTAGAAAGTGGGGAGTAAGAACAGCACCTTCCCAGAGACCAGGGGACCATGCACAGAAAGTAGAAATTCTGCGGTGTGGTGCATGTCTGCCCAGCCTTCTCTCCATCAGAAATCATCAGCGGTGATCAAGTGCTTCAGGAGGCCTTGAGTAAGTTGTTTAACTGCTCTGTGCCCCAATTCCTCATTTGTAAGGTGGAGGTAATATTAGTATCCTACCATATAAGGTGTGTGTGAGGAGTAAATGACTGAATTTATAAAGTGCTTTGGACGGAGGATTCCAAAATGGCGGTGGGGTAAATGGAAGCTACACAGACCATTTCCCAGAACCAAACTGGAATTACAATGAAAATAAAGACAAATCATCAGGGAAAAGCAACAGAAAAGCAGCTTGGAGGATCATATAACCAAGGACACTGACTCAAAACTGGCAGGATTGCAGAGGTGCAAGAAGGGGGCTGGGCACCCACGGAAAACAGCAGCCTTAAGTGTGAGCAGAGCCCTTGGGGTTACACTCCCAAGGGGCTCCACAGCCCAGAGCCGGGACAGACAATAAAATAGCCACAGCCACTCACCTTGGGCTCCGGCAGAGGGAGGGTGGACGGGACTGGAACTGAGTGGGGACACTAGGGATTTGGAGGGCACTCAGAGCTTTTGCTGAGTTGCGGCCACACAGGACAGTGATCATCCTACTGTTCCCAGGGCTCTGGGGAGAGGCAGCAGCCCCTCCTTTGGAGATTCAACCCCACCCAGATGGCCATTGAAATGCAAATTAAGGCTCATTAACAACTAGCATCTGCCCCACCCTCAGGAAAGCTCCTTATGCTTAACACCTGAGGGAGATTTTCATTCAAGTAACCTTGACTAATAGCCTCTAGGCAAAAAGCTAGAGAATAACTGAACAATTCTTTGGTTTGTAACTCTGTCCAGAAAGACTTGACAGTGGTGTTTAATGTGGGTCCTCCCACACTCATCTAAACCCAGTAGAGGGAGACACAAACAGCAGAACACCAACACCCACAGGGAAAATTTGGCAGGCTCCAAAGCACACTGATATAGCCAAAATGGTGAAACAATGAAACAAATGCCAAATGAAAGAACATAAGAACTCTACTGAGAATGACATAAGTGAGGTGCAGTTAAGCAAGTTAACACAACTAGAATTCAGAGCCATAATCTTGAGGAAGCTCAACAGCATGTGTAAGGACATGAGCACCATGAGTAAAGACATAGAAATGTTGAAAATCAACCAGTTGGAAATTAAAAACCACCAAGAAGAAATGAAGAATGACATATCAGAAACAAAGAACACATTGGAAGGTCTAAACAGCGGAGTAGAGGAAGTGAAGAACCGGATCAGTGAATTAGGAGACAGGGTAGAAAAAATCAACCAATCAGATACCAAAAGAAAAAAACCCATTAAAAAACAGGAAGATAGCTTAAGAGAACTGTGGGACAACTGCAAACATAATAATATTCGCATCAAAGAGGTACCCGAAGAAGATGAAACGGAGCAAGGGTTAGAGAATATATTTGAAGAAATAGTAACAGAAAACTTTCCTAACTTGGTGAAGCAAGAAGGCATTCAAGTTCAAGAAGCACAGAAAGCCCCAAGTAAGAAGAAGCCAAAGAGGCCCACACCAAGACACATAGTAATCAAAGTGCCAAAAATTAAAGACAAAGAGAGAATCCTAAAAGCAGCAAGAGAGAAGCAACAGGTTCACTACAAAGGAACCCCCATAAGGCTCTCAGCTGACTTCTGAACAGAAACACCACAGGCCAGAAGGGAATGGAATGAGGTAATCAAGGTCATGAAAAACAAGGATCTGAATCCAAGACTACTCTACCCAGCAAGGCTATCATTCAAAATAGAAGGTCAAATAAAGAGATTTACAGACCAAAAAAAGGCTAAGACAATACACTAGCATCAAACCAGCACTGCAAGAAATGTTAAAAGGACTGCTGTAATTAACAGGAGAAATAGGAAGAAAAACAGAACCACACTAAACAAAAATGGCAATAAATAAGTACATATCAATAATCACCGTTAATGTAAATGGACTGAATGCTCCAATAAAAATACACAAAGTAGCTGATTGGATAAGAAAGCATGACTCATCTATATGTTGTTTACAAGAGACCCATCTCACAACAAAAGACTCACATAGGTTGAAAGTGAAGGGATGGAAAAAACTCTTCCAAGCAAGCAGAAAGGAAAAAAAGACTGGGGTAGCAATACTCATATCTGATAAAATAGATTTCAAAATGAACGCCATAACTAGAGACAAAGAAAGCCACTACATAATATTGAAAAGATCTATCCAGCAGGAAGATATAACCTTGATAAACATATATGAACCCAATATAGCAGCACCAAAATATATTTAAAATCTGTAAGACTTCAAAAGAGAAATCGAAAGCAATACAATCATAGCACTCTTCTGACATCACTGGATAGATCCTCTAGACAAAAAATTAGCAAGGAAACAGAGACTCTAAATGAAGCACTAGACCCAATGGATTTAATAGATATCTACAGAGAAATACATCACAAAAGTACAGAATTCACATTCTTCTCAAGTGCACATGGGACATTCTCAAAGATAGACCACATGTTAGGACACAAACAAAGTCTCTACAAGTTAAAGAGGACTGAAATCATATCAGGCTTCTTCTCAGATCACAATGGCATGAAAACAGAAATCAATCGCTACAAGAACATGCAAAGACATTTGAACACATGGAGCATGTTATTAGCATGTTATTAAACAACTAATGGGTTACTGAGGAGATAAAGGAAGAAATTAAAAACTTCCTGGAAACCAATAAAAATGAACACACAACAACACAAAATCTATGGGATGCAGCAAAAGCAGTTCTGAGAGGGAAGTTCATAGCACTACAGGCCTACCTCAAGAAACAAAAAAAATTTCTAATTAACTATCTAACCTCACAACTTAAAGTATTAGAAAGCAAACAAACAAACAAAAACAACCCCAGAGCAAGTAGAAGGAAGGGAATAGTAAAGATCAGAGCAGATATAAATGACATAGAGTTGAAAAAAAAAACAATTCAAAGGATCAATAAAACAAAGAGCTGGTTTTTTTAAAAGATAAACAAGATTGATGGACCCTTAGATAGACTCACCAAGAAACAGAGAGAGAGAACCCAAATACAAAAAATCAGAAATGAAAGAGGAGAAGTAACAACTAACACCACAGAAATACAAAAGATCCATTAACAGCTACTATGAACAACTATATGGCAACAAATTCGACAATCTAAGCGAAATGGACACATTTCTAGAAATACATAGTCTCCCAAAACTGGACCGGGAAGAGATAGAAAACTTGAACAGACCAATAACAACTAAGAAAATTGAACAGGTAATCAAGACTCTCCCAGCAAACAAAAGCCCAAGCCCAGTTGACTTCACGGGGAAGTTTTACCGAACATTCAAAAAAGAACTAACACCCATTCTCCCAAACTATTTCAGAAAATTCAAGAAGAAGGAAGACTTCCAAACTCGTTTTATGAGGCCAGCATAATCCTAATTCCAAAACCAGAAAAAGATACTACAAAGAAAGAAAACTATAGGCCGATATCTCTGATGAACATAGACGCCAAAATCCTGAACAAAATACTAGCAAATTGGATCCAGCAATACATCAAAAAAATTATTCACCATGACCACGTGGGATTCATCCCAGTGATGCAAGGCTGGTATATATTCACAAATCAATAAATGTGATATACCACATAAACAAAATGAAGAATAAAAACCACATGATCATATCAATAGATGTTGAAAAAGCCTTCGACAAAATCCAACATCCATTTATGATAAAAACTTTCAGCAATGTGGGAATAGAGGGATCATATCTCGACATAATAAAGGCCATATATGAAAGACCTACAGCCAACATCATACTCAATAGGCAAAAAGTAAAAACATTTCCCATAAGAACAGGAAAGAGACAAGGATTCCCACTTTTGCCACTCTTATTCAACAAAGTACTGGAAGTCTTAGCCACAGCCATCAGACATAAAGAAAAAATAAAAGGGATCCAAATTGGAAAGGAGGAAGTGAAACTGTCATTATTTGCAGATGACATGATACTATACATGGAAAACCCCAAAGACTCCAGCAAAAATTTACTAGACTTAATAAATGAATTTGGCAAAGTAGCAGGATACAAAATTAATGTCAAAAATCAATGGCATTCTTATACACCAATGATGAACTCACAGAAAGAGAAACTCAAAAAACAATCCGTTTTACCATTGCCGCAAAAAAAAATTAAGATACTTAGGAATAAACTTAACCAAAGAAATAAAGGACCTATTCATATAAAACTACAGGTCATTAAAAAAAGAAATAGAGGAAGATATAAAAAAGTGGAAGCACATACCTTGTTCATGGATTGGAAGAATTAACATCATTAAAATGTCCATACTACCCAAAGCATACTATCATACTATCAATTCAATCTCCATCAA